CAGGAATGACACTCAAATTACTGAGGGAAAGAAAGTAGAAATGTGAAATGCCTGCTGTCATTTACAGCATGTGTAATCAGAAGAACTTCAGTCTCTCTCCTTGCTGTGATTTAAAGTTCTTCTCGGCACATAGGGAAGTTGACAAAGGTGAAGACGTTAAACTCTATCAATATAGAGAAACACAGGAAAACAGCATAAAGAAACAACACGTAGATGCCTAACTTCCTGTCAAGTTTCCACTTATTTACATGGATTCCAAACACCTGCAAGCAAACAAAATGTTAGTTAAGTAAGCCCAGAGGAGACTTTTAAAAATTATTATAATTACTAGTATTATTATAAGCTATAAATTAGGTTTTTTAAGTAAAGATCCTGGATGAAGATAAAAATACATTCTCAGTATTTTATAGCAATGTATGTTTTTCTGATCAAGAAAACAAATATAAAAGCCCAAACTAAGAACTCAGATTCTGGTCTGTCTTTCAGTTGTCCTAAGATCCTCCTACAAAATACTAAATGAGCCCACTTTAAGGCTTCTTCACAAGTTCTTCATTTAAGTGAGACATAGGCCCTGGTTGCTCAGTCTCAGTACATGGGACGCATTCTAGAGAGTCAACACTCATTCATTGACCCAGTGTGAGCTAAAGGAATGCACTGAACTACGCATGGATGCCTCTCCTTCCAGTGGTAGCCTTAGGTCCCAGTAGTACAACAACACCTAATTAATGTTCATTCTTGCAACAGCTACAGAAGAGGTGCTTTATTGGAAGTTTTGCTCAGCTCCAGAACTAATGGGAGTTACAAGTTACATGTAGCAAAGCAATGAAATCCTCCGAAAGGCATCTATTTTCAGTGCTGTTGAGTACCTCTCAGTTATTTGTTTTGCTCAAAACTCTGAGTTTTTCTGGGAGAATCTGTGTGAATCGGGGTATCCAGCAGAACAAATGAGACAATAATACATGCTTCAAACTCAGGTGACATGGCTTCTGCTATGGAAAGACTCATTTCAGAAAAATGTGAACACCTAGCATAGTAACACATCTGCATAATCCTCCCATTCCTGTCCAAAGTGCTGATCGCCAATACACACACAGCAACATTAGACACAAACATCTACAGCACATTTTGTTGTTTCCCAGGCACCGTGCAGTACAGCAGAACTGGAGACATGGTAAGAAAAAACCAGGTTCCCACAGCCTACAAATCAGGTGCACCAGGAAGTTAGTGGCAGAGTGAACAGCCCTGGTCATTCCATCACTGAAGGTGTGCACAGGTGATGTGGAGTTTTTTAAGATTTAGTCCATGCAACAGTGTGAAATCTCCAGTGATGATCCCCACCTCTACAGAACCTCTAAAGGGCCTCCACAGGCAATCAGTGAAAGATGTTAGTGTAAGTGAGTATTTTTATACCTTTGGGATTTGATTCTTCCCACAGAGGGCTCCCTGGGAGTAAATGGGATCAGACCTTAAGTACCAGCAAAACCGACTTTTAAAACAGAATTATTGTTTCAACTTAATAAGTCATGTGTTACAAGGGTAACAAAGTGTCTTATGCTGAGTGTTATTTAGCATGCCTAGTAAAAGTCGAGGTTCACAGACCTCACAGACTAGTCTTCATTAGGGTTTTGGCTACAGCACTTGTTAAGTTTAGGATGGTTTTGGAAAATGGAGACATGGGCAAAGGGTGATGAAGGATACTTGGGTCTTGTCCTGACACAGAGACAGGCCTAGGGCACATAGCTGAACAAAGGAGCACAGAAGTATTGTTGGATCCCACAATTTCAACACTGCCACTGAAATCAATGGGACCTACATGCACCCAATGTCAGGTTTCAGTCCTCAGTGAGGAAAATTGTAGCTCTTTAACTCATGGCATCGCTAAAAGAAAGACACTTTACAAGAATCTATGCTTTGGGGATAATTATTTCTATTTTGTCCACCTACAATATTCAAATACCAAATAAGTATTTTTCAACAGGAATACTTGAAGACCCTCAAATACTTACAGTAAGTGCCACCGATCCTAGCAAAAGTGCAACTGAATAGACCAGTCCTTTGCTGTTTATCTTAACCTGTGGGAATTAGAGAAGAGACCCTTAAAGTGCTCAGCATATAATAACTGTACTTTGGAGATCAGAAATCAATTTACTGATTTATGGTCCTCCTTCTTTTTTGAATAGTGACTGACTTACACATTTTAAACTATGCAAATCCATGGAAGATTCATCATATTGAAGAATGGGAAGATTAAGGAATCAAAACAAATGTATAAACAATACCATCTCCATTTAAAAAAAAATATAAAAAAATCAGCATTTAAAATTGATTTTATGTTAAAGGATCCTCAGGAGAGAGATATGCTGTTGTTCTCATTTTAGAGACAAAGACCCTAAGGTACAGTGAGACAGCCAGGTGTGCTTAAAGCTGTGCAGTGAAAAAATGACAGAGCCATGAACAGATATCCCTGGCACTATTTAGCTGCTCTACAGTATAACATACTTCAGTTGACAAATTAGGAATTAATTGCAGCTTGTAGAAGAATTTCCTTAACTCCTGATTCCTTGACAAAGAAACACCATCTTACTTAGTATCCAATAACATGCTCAGCAGGTTGCTCAGGTTTTATTTTTTTTAAAATGACATGCTTTATTTCTAGGATTATTTTATTTAAACAGACAAAAAGAAAAACTCAAAGATCTGCCAAGCATACATACAGTTGATCCAGAATCAATCGCCATGGTCTGCAAACCCCATGGAACCCCAAGGCCCACCAGAATGTCAAAGACATTGCTCCCTATTGTGTTGGACACTGCCATGTCACCAAGGCCTGCAGAGAAAAAAAAAGCGGAGGACCATTACTCTGTGTACTAGAGGAAGCTAAAGGGGAATGATCTGCAGTGATCCAAGTCCCCTTGAACTGGCCAGAGTATCTGAGGTAGGAAGACAACTTCCATAATATTTGCATGACTTCTGAAAAAAGTGTGCAAAAAATTGCTCATTCCAACTACATCTTTCTTATGTCTTGAAGAGCTTTTACTGGGTGCATGGTATCCATTCAGCACCTGAGTTCAATGCCAATTTAAAAAAAAAAAAAAATACAATTCCTGTTGTAAGTAGTCTGCAGCCACAGGGAAGCTGGAGATTATGTACTGGATTTAGTATGTGGACACGTGGCCTTTATCCCATGTGAATGATGAAAAGTGATCCTGAAAAGAACCCAACCAGATGGTAGTCAAAAAGATATTAAGCACTTCTGTGGGTCTTAATCAGCAAAATTTCTCTTCAGGAACAATAAAATGCTACAGGAAAGGGAAAAAAATGTGAATGGTGGTGAAATCCCTAGGCATTACTCAAAATCTAGTCCTAATGTTCATCTCTGGCTGGCATCTCATTCCGCACCAGTGTCAATGGATGTGAGGAAGGCAGAACTCTTATCTGCCTCTGCTAATTTCTCTTAGGCATTGTCCTAACTATTGAATGACTTCCACAAAGTGAATACTGGAAAAGAAAAGAAAATCTGAAGTAAATGAGAGTACTTTGAAAGTACACAGAGTGGAGATAGACACTACCACGCTATAAGTACAGTTCCTTCTTGCAGGAAGCTGTTGAAATAAAGGCTGTGCTTTGGATCCATGCTAGGGTAGTGTCCATCTCTACTTTTTAGATATTTGTCAGTAAACATCACTCCTGAATCCAAGCAGTGTAAAATCCCTCTGTTGTCTTTGAGAGAATGAGGCTGCTTTTTGTAAAGCTAGTGCTTACCTTCATTTTCAAAGGAAAAAATTCCTACAGTAGCTTTGCCTAATACCAAAGAAGAGCTAATCTAAAGAAGCAGTCTGTTCATTAAAAAACTTAACATGTTTTCCTTCTGTTTTTACAAACATCTGTTCACTTTAATACTACATATGGAAAACTAATTTACTAGGAAGGTGATTCCATAAGAATCCTGAATACCTTTTTGTACTGCTTTTTGTGAGATTTTCTTACACACAATAAATTATAAAACCTGGAAAATGAAATATTTTTAAAATATAATTCTTTTCAATCAAATTACATTTATCAGCACTACTCCTACCTCAAACTACTAAGTGCAATTCTTCATATGTCCCAATAGGAAAGAGGTATACATTTGGATAAGAGGTATGTCTGGAGCAAAATCACTTCTGCCAGATCCTCTTAAACCATTTCACTTCCATGGGTTTGAGAGCTCTAGAAATCAGTACAAGTTTTACATGGACAAGTGCTGGTAAGCTTGTATTCTTCAATGTAGTTTTTAATAGCTGATATTCCAGTTTTGTCTACTACTTCAAACTTTTTACTACGGAATATCTGAGTTTTGAATGACCTTTTAGACTGCCCAGTCCCAACATGCAAAATATAACTGGACAGGAGGATTTGTTTTGTTTTGTTTTTCAGTAGTTAGGAAAGTGTTTTGGCTTTTAACAAGGCACTGAAACAGTAAAAATAATAAAACAATAAAATTGCACTGAGAATTTGTATGTATGAAAGAAGCAAATTACAGAGCACGGACGTAAGATTGCAGTAATGCTTCAGCAGACACAGTACCTTGTCTTGCTACTATTAAGCTGGCCATGCAGTCTGGGACACTTGTTCCTGCAGCTAGAAAAGTAATGCCCATGATCACATCTGGAATCCCAAGGGTGTATCCAATCACAGTCACCTGAACAGTAAGGAAAAAAGATTAACCTATCATATTTGGAAAGTCTCCTCATTCCAATACAGTTGTGGTATACTCTGGTCTTTGATTTCTGCTGTGGACCCTAACAGGATTAGACTCAAGATACTTGAGCAGTTCTGCAAATTTGGATAAGCAGTCTATAACCAACCCTGTGAAAAGGAAAAGTACTTTGGGTCATATTATTCAACACTTATGAGCAAACAAAAAGCTCAGTTTTCTGTACTTCCAAAGGACATACTGATCTCTTAAGGAGGAACACAGACATAATCCCATCTATGCTTTGTTGTGGGGTTTTTTTTAATTCCCAAGAATGGAAATATTCTCTCTAGTTCAATTCTTAAAAGAATTGCAACCAATTTATATTGTGATATAGGAGCAAAAATATAAAGAACTTATTTTATCCCAACAAATGAAGAAGGAATCAGTTTCTTGTGTGACTCTGATATAATCCCAAAGTGAGGAAGTCTGGTTATATTGTCCTCTGAGAGTCCAGATGCAGCTTTAAAAGAGCTTAGGGAATGGCTGAAGCTTGTAGCAGAGCTCTTGAAAAGGACAGGGAACTATTTAACTGGAACATCCAAAGAAGGCTGAACCAGCACCAAGAAAAGAGGCTGAACCAGCAGCTGAAAAGGAAATAGCCTAGTGAGAGTGAGAAGACTGAATCAGGGACAAGCAGCTGCCTCCCTGCTGAGACTGCTAAGGGTAGAAGTCATTAAGGCTCTATGTTTTTTTCTTGAAATAGCTTTTTTTGAAATAGACTCTTACATGAGGAAAACTGGACACCAGAGAAAGGAGCACTTTAGGAATCCGCTCACAAACCTTATTCTCAGGGGCAAGGTGTGACTCAGAAATAGAAGTGGGCATGATTGTCCAGCTGCAAGTGGTAATGAGGTATTAAGGTCTGTCTGCCTCATAAAATAAGCTGTGTTTCAGCCTTGATGACCACATTTCTCCTTTGTGAAAGAGATACCTAGAAATGGAAGCAATGTATGGAGCATGGCCTTGTAAAAGACATATGGCATTAAATGAATGTGTGGATTTGCCACCATTTTGCCAAGCCAAATGAATGGCTCGCATTGGAATTTCTGCAAAACAGTCTATGTTAAGAGCAAAGAGAATTACTTTACAGTGCAAAATTTACACAGAAAGTTGCAAAAAGGGTATAGAAAACACAACATTCCATGAGAGGAAGCATAAATATAAAGCAGTTTGCAAATGCCTGACACATTTGAGGAAGGTTGAGATGTTCTCCACCCAAAAAGGATTTTGCAGGTGAGAAGATCATGAACAAAAATTCTTCCATATGCATGACTAGAAGAGTGTGTGTGTGTGTGTGTGTGTGTGTGTGTGTATTTATATGACTGTGAGTGTGTATATGTGAGACTATATATATTCCAGTAGGAAACCAGCTGCAGGTTTCTTCACTCTATTTTTCTTTAAAAGAAAAGGCATATAAATTCTTCAGCAGCACATCCTACCAGTGTTCTGGTTACAGATACATACAACTGCTTGGGTTTCCATCTTTAATGTAGAAAAATGTTCTGTACTTAAAAAGCATGGCTAGTTTTTCTGTCACAGAAACTATTTCTATTACAGAAATGTAAATTTAAGAAAATGAAAGAGGGTAAGAAAGAAAGTAAAGGAACTTATTAAAATCTTCAATTGTACTCCTTAATTGTCAACAATTTACACCTGCTTCTTACAGATCTAGGACAAATATAAACATACCAACAATCATAATACTCTTCACTAAGGATTTTCTTGCATTATTCCACTCTACTCAAGGTGTTTTACACCACTTCCAAATTTTCAAATATTGCCATCCATCTGCTCTTTACGCATGTTTCAGTATCAGACCCTGCAACCAAATTTGTAAAGGTGCCTCAGCTGTGGAGAATTAAATGCTTTCATTTCAACTCCATTTTTTAGTAGGATGTGGATATTTACATTCTCTTGAAAATCAAGCTGAAACCTTTCTGTACTGCATTGGGCCCTGTACAGTAAAGACCCAATTATTTGTGCAGAAAAGAGCAGCAGAAAGCTAGAATTACAATAATTAGAGTGCGAGCTAAAGAGACTGCCCTACAATTACATGCCTGCCTTTAACAAATACACAAAAGAACTACAATCTATTTTGAGTTGCACATTTCACTCAGCATGGAAACTCCTGCTACATGCACTTACCATCCACACCATGAAGTAGGAGAACAAGGCAATCCAGAGAGTGGATAACACAAATGTCAGCATAAAAAAGCTCTCCCAGCGTGGTTTGCTGCAGTTTGGAATGGTGCAAAAGAGCACGAGTATCAATGGCCATGTCAAAATCCATTTAACTTTGTTCATTTTCCCATCTGCAGGACAAAGGAAGGAAAGAGCCAGTTTAGCTTTCCCATCACTATCCTCAGCCCAGTTACACTTCTTTGAACACAGCAGATGACCCCAGAAGATCTCAGAAGGATGTTTAGAAGTGTGCATCTCAGCTCATTTTCCAGTGTACCTTTCATCTACACCTCCTGTCACGCTCAGCCAAGTTCTGCATGCACATCCAGAATCTTATAGTTAAGCCTGCCAACGTCTGTGTAAATCCATGAAAGAATTACAATGATTTAAAAGCATGGCTGCATTCAAAACCAAAATCAATAGTCAGGTTTGTTGCTTTTTCAAATATCTGTATTCATTAATCCAAAATGAAAAAAAAAACAACAACCCACTACAACAAAGCAAAACAGAACCAAAGAACTAAAGCCCAACCCCCCCATACCTTTTAAAAAGGAAGATGGAACTCCATGTAGTGAAGTTAACCTGTACCTTCTGTGCAGCAACAGAAACTATTTTCGCAGAAAAGAGAAGCACAGCCCCAGCCTATGAACATGACAAACTTGTTTCACATGCCTGACTGTGTTCACTTGGGCAGGATTTAAACTGGCATTTTGGACATCTAGACTTATCAACTCTCTCCAACTGCATATAGCACCACCCTGAGATGGTCTCTTATTCTCTAAAAAAGAAAACTGAAGATACTGAATTACCTCAAACAGATCTCCAAAACTGACTGGTGAGAAATACCAGAAAACTGTCATTACTGAAAACGAATAGAGACTTTCTCATTTTTTTAAATTTAAAGTATTGTAAAATTGCACATAAATCTCAATACGTAAAATAGAACTATTTTATAATTGGGCCATAAATAAATGGGGCACTTGTATTTACATTTCATGAGGCATCCTGCGAGTAAGATAACAAATTTGTTTATCACGCTAAACTGGAGTATCACACCAACAGCATGGTGGGTTTTCTTTGGGTTTTCTTTCCACTATTTTAGAATTATGCTAATAAGGATTTCCATCATTAAGTGATAAAGGCATGCATGAGATTTAATAAAATACAACATTTTTAATAAAATGTTTGATTACAATTAAGAAAATTATCGGTTGTATATTCCAGTGATGTTGTTTAGCTAAATTTATAAAAAGCAGGCAATAATCAGTGAAAGCTACTATCAATTTCACAAAGAATTTTCTTTCAGCAAAGACATTGGGATTTAGGAATTGTTTAATGGGAATTTTTGTAACCTAATTATACTGAAATCTGTCCTCTGGACCAAAGTGCAGCAGATGCAATGAAATTAAATAGCAAACATTTAAGAATTAAGAATGTTTTTGTAGTTTATAAGGCTACTTACTGGTCTAATATAACTCAGTGCGTTCAAATGCAAGACTTTATTAATTTACTGTGGCACATATTCTAGTAACAAATTGTCCTGTATACATTATGAAACAGCTCCTTAACTTGAGATGCCATCTACCCACCAGGAAATTTAGACTAAGCTTGGGTCTTTATTCCTGTTTAAGCTTGTGGAAGTTCTAACACATAAAACTACTGAATTCTCCTGGGGTCAATTCTAATTCTAGACATTTTACACTTTATTCGACCTATTATGGATTTTACAGAAAAGTCCTTTTTCCCTCTCATTACATATACTGCTATTTTTAAATTTTAAAATTTTAAAGTGTTATCTTTTATCTTTTCTGTACAGAAAACTCCACTTCTTAGCTCACAGCCCACTTTAATCCTATTAACAAAGCTGTAAATACCCTATGGTAATGTATACCTCCTCCTGTTTAATTTGTTACTGTTTGTTACCATTAGGATCATTACAAGACTCCTGCTAGTTAATTTGTACTCTTTGTCTACCCAAGTTGCTACGTTTGGTTCATAGTCAAACAAGCCAGCAGGGCCTAGACCAGTAATCTCCTTGCTGTGCAATTCCAAGTGCAGGGTGAGGGAGTGACTGACAGGGGAACATTTTGGATCTGATTCAGATCTGGAGCGGATGCAACCTGACTGACTTCAATGCTGCTGCACACAGGAGCTTCAGTCCTGTTTCTCTTTTCAATAACACCAATGAAAGAAACAAGGAGAACAAATAGGGAATAAATAGATGCACTCAGCCTCTGCTCGGGAATATGTATCTTGTCTGGATCCTGTCTTGTGTCCTGAATTACTTAAACAAATGCTTAGCTGTGAGAATTCCCAGTGCCTCACCACTGGCCCTGCTATGCTTGCTCTGCTCCAGGAAAGCTGAACTTCCAGTGGGGGAGAACTTGCCTTTCCCCTCTCTCTGCTCAGCTTGAATGGATGCATGCCAGATTAAAATTCCTGCCTGTATTAGTGGTGATGCTTTATCCAGACAATGTCAGGAGTCAGAACTGGTTTTTATAGCCAGATGGTTTGTAGAAGTAACATTTGCATTCATTACCAGGCACCTAGGCTTGATATTTCAGGGAACTACATGCAGTTTTGGGTTTTGTTGGGTTAACAGAGAAGCTTAATGGCCCTTTGCAGTTAACCTGGCATAGTTCTGAGCCACCATGGCCAAAGCAGCCTACTTGGCACACTTTACACTGGCTTCTCTTTCGTGTCAGGATTTGCCAGCTCTTATAAACTTCTATATAAAGCCTTAAGTGTATCTTGTCTCGGTTCTGCCTCAGGCCATTTTCCTCATCTACTATCAAAGAACTTGTGTGGCACCCAGTGCTGAAGAAGTCTTCTCTTACGATGTAACTTGGTAGTTAAGTAAGACTTTAGTAAGTTTAGTAGCAACGTCAAAGTGAGACTTGATTTCCTCTGGAATCAGATTTACTTCGTTCCTTTCACCTGGCTTAGATGACTGCACAAACAACATACTTGAACATTTTTATTTTTCTTATTTCTTTTGAAATTACTTCTTGTGTTGCTCTGTTGTTTTGTTTTTGACCACGTACTCTAAAATAATAATAAAAATTATTTATTGATACATTTGTTATGTTGGAGTATAATTTTAGTTCATGACAAATTGTTTTATGATTGTTGCTTACCTCACTATTACATCTGAAAGGAAGAAAATTACCAGCCTCATGAAGGCCATTATTCAATACAGAGATGTTCTGTAAAAACAGGCATAAACAGTCCCATTACAAGGCCTTAAGCCAGCTGTTTTAATAGCAGTACTGGCTAGTTCTGTGAGCCCTGGCTCTGGAGGCTCCTGAGGCAACCCACATAGCTGAGGAAAGGTGTATTTTGTTTGTTGCACCTTCCATGGCAATAATGAAAGAATATTGCTTTATTATAGAAAGCAACACTGGTCTATATTCTGTTTACTTGAACTTGCTGTAAAAAAAAATCAGGTTTTTTTTTGCATGAATTTGCTTTTCCTACTTTATACATCTGTTTTTCTGTTTCTGAAAGCCAGGCATGCCAAGTATTTCAGAGGTACCCTTACAGAAAAGCCTGATCACAATGTTTCTGAAAATGAAGCAGCAGACCTACAACAAAGAGCCCTTTGCTAATTTCCAATACATTTCTGGGCTTGTTATCTTTATAGATGTTATGTTCACAATAATTACTTTCACATACAGACGGTGAATGAAGTCAACAATACACACGACAGCACTGACAGGAAAGGAATATTTCCTTAAGGTACTTAAATAAGTGCCTTTTTACAGGAAAAAAACATGTCATATTCACAGCATTCAAACAGAGTTGGGAGGAGCTCAGTACAAAAAGTGTGAAACTACATTTCTGTTTTCATTCAGGCCAGGAGTGTGCCCTTGAAGTAAATCTCCTGGTTGTCCCCATTTACTCTATCTTGGTTTTCAACAGAGACTTCCCTTGCATCACAGAATCACAGAATAGTCATGGTTGGAAAGGACCTCTGAGATCACAGAGTCCAACCATCGCACCAGGGTTCCCTTGACATAGAGCTGAACCAGAGGCACAAGCTTAGAAGTGGTCCAAATGATAGGAAGCATTTAGGCCAAGGGGCTAAGTTATAGCTACTCCAAAACAGAAGTTCCAAATGCATACAGTGCAGACAGCATACATGTCCTAGTCAATAAGCTGCACAGAAAACACTTCTGCTGAACTTAGACTGACTGGAATCTGCAATTACACCATCAGGAGCCAGATCTAAGTTGCTGCAGTTGGTTAAATTTCACAGAATCACAGAATCATCATGGTTGGAAAACACCTCTAAGATCACCTAGTCCAACCATCCACCCCGTGAGGGGCCCAGAACTGAACACAGTACTCAAGGTGGGGCCTCACCAGTGCCACAGGGGCACAATCACCTCTTTGCTCCCTCTGGCAACACTACTCCTGCTGCCAGCCAGGATGCTGTTGGCCTTCTTGGCCACCTGGGTACACTGCTGCCTCATCATGTTCATCCCTGAACCAACAGCAGTTCCTTTTCTGCTGGGCAGCTTTGCAGCCCCTCTTCCCCAAGCCTGTAGCGTTGCCTGGGGTTGTTGTGGCCCAAGTGCAGGACGCAGCACTTGGCCTTACTGAACCTCACACCACTGGCCTCGGCCCATCAACCCAGCCTGTCCAGGCCCCTCTGTAGAGCCTTCTTACCCTCAAGTAGATCAACACTCTAGCCCAACTCCGTGTCACCTGCAAACTTACTGAGGGTGCAATTATCCCCTCATTCAGATTATTGATAAAGATACTGAACAAGACTGGCCCCAAAACTGAGCCCTGAGGGACACCCCTGATGACTGGCCACCAACTGGTTGCAACTCCATTCACTACAGCTCTCTGGGCTTGGCCTGCAGCTGTTCTTTTACCCAGTGAAGAGTGCACCTGTCTATGCCACATGCTGCCAACTTCTCTAGGAGAATGCTGTGGGAGATGGTGCCAAAGGCTTTGCTGAAGTCGAAACAGACAATATCCACAGCTCTTCCATCATCCACTGGGCAGGTCACCTGTTCATAGAAGGAGATCATGTTGGTCAAATGGGACCTGCCCCTCCTGAACCCATGCTGGCTGGAGCTGATCCCCTGGCTTTCCTGAATTTTCCGTGTGAGTGCACTCA